CTAATAGCAACCATGATGATGAGGATGAGGATGATGAAGATAATGTTAATAATAATTATATTCTTGATAATGATAATGATAATAACTTTGTCCAACCCTGGCAATTAGTTTCTCATCATGTTAATTAAAAACGCATTTTGATTGGTAACAAGATAACAAGTTGGTTAATCTTTTTTTAGCAACAGAAAAGCAAAATCTCAACAGAAACAAAACAAAAATTAACTTAATCATGATAATAGATAATAAAAATTACTCAAGATGATAAACTTCATCAACATTGAATTGATTGCAATCTTTTAAATTTAATTTTACATTATCGATACAATTGATCACAATCAAAAGCTATTCATCATTTTTTCATCTTCTCTATGTGATTCTCTACCTGATCATCATCTTCAATCATCATATTGTCTTAAATTTTTTTCTCATCTATTCATCATATTTCCTCTTTCTCTCTCTGCGTCAACTTATCTTGTGTCTTCATCATTTTTCCATCCTCATCATCAACATAATCATCTTTCTTGTCTTCATAATTCAGTCTTGATATTATTTAATTGCTGAGTCCAACAGAAAAAACTAAGATAAGAAAACCCTTATAAATGTAAGATTGTGTTGATTCCTAGTTAAGAGTTGGCTCTTTTTTTGTTCAAATTCACATTCAAACAGTCATCATGTAGTCTTTCATGGTTGAGGTAAGAAGATGATGACAAGATGATGATAACAAGATTTGTTGATACTGTAGCGACAAGAGGAGGAAGAAGAAGATGAGCAGAGAGAGAGAAGACAAAATGAAATTAATTCTGTTTTATTATTAATTTCAAGTCACTAACCATGAAGAAGGTGAAATTTAAATTACCATGTAACCCAATTTCAATGGGAATTTAATGTAACAAGTTACTTTCAATGATAGAAATTGGATTTCAAACCTTTTCTTTTCACAAAGAATCAGATAAAAAAAAACAGAGGAAAAAGATTATGATGATAATGGTGAAGATGAGAAGATGAAGACGATTTACAAAAGAAAAAAAAGAGAAAAAAACAAAAGTTCATTCGGTATTTCTCATTGATGGTAACAATTCCAATGATTAGTAATTCATGGAAAGAGCACCTTACAGACCAACCTTTTCATTTAATTCAAACTCTATTTGTCTAAAGAACTTGTTTCATCCTCATCCTCATCATCTCCATCATCTTCCACTATCATTATCATCCTTTTTTTCTGCTAAAACTTAAGACGAAACCATCATTCTCATAATCATATTATTCATTGCATTCAGCTATCAACTTACAACCTTAATCATCTTTCATTTCAAATGATTTTCTCAGCATTTTTTTTCCAGTTTTTCCTCTTCCTTTAACCTCAACATGATAATATGGATACAAGAATTCAGATAAAACCTAAAATAATGAAAAAAAGAGGAAAAAAAAACTGAACGGATAACCTCAACATTGCTTTTTCTCAGGTTAATTATAATGTTTTGATTTGGAAAAGAATATTTTTCTTCTTTTCATCTTGTTCATCCTAAGAAATTATTATAGCTCATCATTTTTTTTCTTCATCATCATCAGAACAACAACAACCAATTCAATAGATATAAACATAAAATTAATGTTAGAAAGAAGATAAAAATTGATGAAATTGTTGGTGGGCCATTTAGACTTCACGCAAGCTCAAGTTCAGTTGCGTTAATATTAAATTCAAAAAGTGATTAGATAGAAAGTAGATGGACAATGGTCACTAGATGTAAAAAAAGAGCTAAATTTTCTTGATCAGAAAGCAGAAAGAAAATCGTACTTCTCTCTATCATAGAAAACTCATCATTTTATATTATTATTATCATTATATTAACATTATGGCAAAAAGAATATCATTTTTTATTCTAAAATGGAATAAAATTTTTTTCTTCTATTATTGTTTTTCACTTTCACCTCTTCTTAAGCCAATTTTATCAATTACTTTGAGTAGTAACGGTTTATTGATTTTCATGTTTCTTTTTTGTTCCCATTCAAGGAATCAAGATTCTGATAGCATGCTGATAGCATGGTGACAGTGAAAATGGTTATGCTTGGTAAGTGGGAGGTGGTAACATCAGTGTGGAAAACTGGGAATTCATGAGATGAACTCAATTCAAAGTGATGAAGATAATGGATAAAAAAAGATGAAGACAGAATGACAATGAAATAGACAACTTATTACACTTAACCACTTGATTTTGATGATGATAATGATTATGGTTTTGTCTCTTTACTGTTGTTTTCTGATTTCAATCTCTCATGAGATAATTCAGTGCAACTATAACTCTCAAGTAAACATAACCATAATCTCAAGTTTTACTTTACTCATTGTGTCCAAAATAATTAATATCAATTGATAATCTCATCATTAACTTGATATTACATAATAATAATCAGGGTAAAAGACAAGTAGCAACTTAAATCACGGAAATCGCAACAATAATGGACATGTAATAATAGTTATTCATGTCCAGATTCATTCAACATTCATGATCAACTCAAGTGATAATAATGTAATGATTAACTTGATGAAAAGTGAATCAATTCACTTACAAGTAAACATTTAGATACAAATTATTCATTAACTAAGGTTATTAATTTACTATCATAAGCGGCATCAAGGATATAAGATGGAGAGAGACATGAATGAAATTGAATTTGAAATGTAAAGTTATACTATTTGAATCATTTGAAGCTCTTTGTAAACAGTAAATTGCAAATATAATTCAGAATCTAAAGGGAGAAAAAAAGTTCTGCATCATTGAAAGTTACATCAAAGTCAATGGATAAAAATCTCATTTCCAGTTCTTCTCATCTTCATCTCTTCATCAACAAGACAAGTTATTGAGAATGAGAGAGAGAGAGTCTGTTTATTTTCTTGTGTAACTAATAATAACATGGATATTGAGCTGATCATCATGATATATATCAATAAGAAATGTTAATAACAACAATGGTAACAATAATGATGATAATGGTAATAATAACAATCAGATAGGCAGAAATCAATGATATTTACATGGGGAGGCTGCTATTGGAAAGACTAATAGTTAGATAAATAAATATGTCAACTTTGATAAATGTATCTTTGTTTTTCAAGTAGAATTGATAAATTTTATATTATCTCCATTTGCTTGACCATAAAAGGTTGTATTAGTTTTTTGTTATTTATTTATTCATTCCCATGGTTAATACACTATTCAATATGATAACTGAATCAGAATCACAGATTACAAATGATAATTCCGTTACTTCTTCTTCTTTTTTTTATAAATCTAACTGTCAACTGATATTTCACAAGTCAAAGATAAAGTGATTTCCATGATAATGTATATTAAATCTGAAAATCTGACGCTAAACTTTTTTTCTTTGCTTCTTCTTCCCTATCCTGCCAACTCAAAATGCAACATGATAATATCACCATGATGATATTTCATGTGGCCAGAAAAAAAACTAACAAATAATATAAAGTAGCAATATAATAATATCCATATAAACGTTGGTAAGAGAAGCATTTTGATTGGAATCGTCATGTAATGAATTATGGTTAAGGAAAAAGTGAAAAAATAGTAACTGAAAACCATGAAAATTATTTAATAAAATTATTCAGATTCATGATATTAAAGTCAAGATGAATCTTTGACTTTTACTGATGATATTTCAAGGCTTAGAAAAAGAAAATGAAATCAAAAATGAATACATGATGAAAAGTTGAACAATATTCATGAATTATTTAAGTCTCAAGATGAACAAACATATTTGCCTATCATGTTTTATTGTAATACTTTTCAAAAGTAATCATGCAAAAAGTATGAAATCATTGAATGAATTTGAAGAAAAAAAAGTTCTGTAATTGAAAGAGGATTTTTTTTCGCTTCTTCTTTGACAATGGAGAGAGAGAGAGAGAGAGTAGAAAAGCAAATAAGTAAACAAAAATATAGTGGAAACAAAGTAAACATTCATCTTGATTGTGATTCTAGAAAAGTGATTATCATGATATACTCATCATAATGATCATGTTTATGATTATTATTTATGGTTATTGATATTGGCTAATGATTTATATTTCATAATTTAAGATAATTTAAGATGAACATGATGATAGAATTATCTTCACCTAAAGGAGACTTATAAATATATCACTTCTTAAAGTATCTCTCATGAGGGTTAGAGGTTGACTGTAAGTTGTTTACATGGTGAAAATGAATAGTTTCAAGTTAAAGTAACTGATAATTGTTGATAACCTATTCCAATGTTACAAATTGTTTTTATTATCATCAGCCATCAATTCAAGTGATGCAAAGTTATTAATATTTCAATTTCCATGGTAAATATTAATATATACAAGAGGTGGAAGAAAAAAAAAGTTGCATTACAGTTAATAACTAAATTATTCAGGCTCAGAGAAATTTCAACAAAATTTTATCACACTCACTGAGTATTTTCATCATCAACATCAGAGTGTTTTATTTTCATAGGTATCATGTTTATCCCCTTTCAATTTCATGTTGACTATTTTGCTCTTTTCTTTTCTCTTGGTTAATCTTTTGATTTTATTTCCAATCCCCTTAATTCATTTCATCTTAATCTTTTTTTTCTTATTCAAGCTTTTCCTTCCTCTCTCTTCCTATTTATCCTTTTCTTCCTCTTCCTTTGCATCATCTCCTCTGATTCTTAATATCTTCATGTTGTTTCATTTTGACTTGAATGTTTTTCTTTTTCCTGTTTAACTACTAGGTTTCAATCGTGTCTCTTATTTGATTCTGTTAAATTTGGTTAATTAGCTTTTCTCGTGCAATTGTCAGTTCAAATGAAGCTTAAATAGTAGGAGAATCATGATCACATCATGAAATGAGCCAGAATGAAATTTGTTACCAGGGAAACTTAGTGATGATAATAATATCAAAATCATCAGAGAAAAAAGGTAGAATAAAAATAAAAATAACCAAACAGGAAGATAAATAAAAAAGAAAGTGGTAACTTACTTCTAACATTAAGATAATAACTGAATGAATCAAAGTGTCCAAATGAATGGTCAGTTGTACATCTATACCATCCAGTATCTGCGAATGATACTGATGCAATGTTAAGAGAACCGTCAAGTGATGTGAATAGATTTTCCTTTGTTAATTTTGAAGATCCTGGTGTTAATGAATGATCACGAATCCATTGAGGTTGACTTGGTGGATTAGCATCAATTACACATCTTAATAAAATTGACATTCCTTCAACTATGGGATAACCAAAAACTGGATCACGGATTAAGGAAAAGGCAGGTTCATCTGAAAGAGGAAGAGGAAAAAAAGATGAAACCAATTAATGGTGATTAGTACATATATTAATAGATTATCTCACATCATCATCATCATCTTCACCATTTTAATGAGTCAAAATTATTAACATAATCATGATAATTTTCATGGATAATCATCTATGTCTGCATCAGTTGAAATTCATCTCTCTTTCTTTCAAGTTTTATCAAAGTTGTTGTGTCAGTATCATTACACTTAATGAGATGACACAGAAAAGGATGAGGATGATAATAATAGATTGCCATTGGCGTTCATCACTTAAGTGATTATAATGATCAACAATCAGTTGATCACCTCCCAAACCATGTTACCCTCATTGAAATAAGGTTAAACCAACTGTAAATGTATCACTAGTAACTCACACTCATTCATAGTTAACTATTAACTCCCTGTGACCAAAAAAGAGGGAAGTAGACACACACACACACACATACAGGGTGGAAGAGGTTCAATGTGAATGAAAGAGTAGGAGGAAAATACTTGTTACTCATTTCACTTTCTTTCTCTTTCTTTCTCTTTCTTTCTTTTACCCTCTTCCAGTTGAATTTATCTTCTCTTTATCATCATCATCATCTCCATCTCCATCCTCCTCCATTGTTATCATTCAATGTTTACATTGTTTGCTTATTCATCTTTTTCTAAATTTCTACTTCTTTCTTTACTGTCTAATTATCTGTCTAAACCATTTGTCTTTCTATTTTATCAAAATAAAAATTTTTCTACAGCCTATCAATCAATTGAGCTATTATTGAATTCTTTGTCATTATATTATTATTATCATCATCATCATCATCATGGAAAAAGCATCCGCATCACTTGTATTCATTTTCCTTCAAATTATCAACATTCCTCTCTTTTCCAATACTTACATTGAATATTAAGATTTGTTCTAACGGACATTGGCTTGGACCAAGCAGAATGTTCAGCTTGACAGACTAATGTTTTCTTATGATCTTCCTTGGTAACATTGATTGTTAGAACACTAAAAGATTCATAACTATTATCATCAGCTGAATATTCCATTAACAATTGACTAAAATCAGTAACATTGATTCCATTGATGGACCAGCTAATTGAACGAGTTGCTGGTGAAGCTCCTTTAACAATACAAGTGATGGTCAATAGCCTTTTATCTCGAACGGTTACTCGACCATTTTCCTCAATTCGTTGTCCATCAACTTGTAAAAATGGACCTTCAGGCACATCTAAAGAAAAGAGAATATCAAAATAGTGATGACATTGTGAATACAAATTAGATTCAACCAATCAATAGCCCACCAACCAATCAATAGGGGCTGATTAATGAAATTAGATACAGTTAGTAAGGAAACAATTGATTGGTCAAGAGTAATAATAATGTTACAAATGTATCAGAATCAACTTACTTGCAACCGTTATCTTCATAACATGGGATTTCTGTTTAACATTACCATTGTTATCCAGTTCCCAGCATTCCCAGATTCCTTCATCAGCTTTGGTTACCCTATTAATTGTCAATGCTGCTTGACCATCTTTAGTTATATTCCAATGTCTCCGTTGGGATGAACTAAAATCCTATTATTGTTCAGGGTAACGCAACACATCATTCATGGTCATCCATGGTCATCATCATCATTATCAGTATCAAAAATATCACAATCATCATGGTAAAAGAAGAAGATGAAGATGAGAAAGCAAATAGGAAGAGGAAAGATGATAAACAAAAGGTTAGCAGGTTGAATGTAAATAATCAGATAAAAAGGGAAGCCAATAACTTGGACGAGAAAATAATTCTCAATAGACGATGAAAAGAGGAAGATGAGGATAAGGATATTACAAAGAATGAGAGAGAGAGAGAGGATGAGGATGAGGAAAGCGGGTTATCCTGGTAGAAAAAGCTAAAGATGAGGAGCAAAAAAAAGATGATGAGGATGAGAAGAGACTCAAGAGACCTCTTTAACTATAATTGAATGCAATAAAATTGGACAGTCGAGAAGGAGCAAAGTAAGGATGAAGATGATGATGAGATACATGAGATAAAATAAAAGATGAGAGAGAGAGAGAGATGAAGATGAAGAAAAAACTGGATGATTTGGATGAGAAGAGGATATAACCTGACGATTGCCATTGGATAGCGTTTTCTTTTTTTTCCTGATTAATTGCATTTCATTTGCAATGAAATTGTAAAGAGCTGCATCAATTTTGATAGCTTTTTGTTATCTAAAGCATCCTCATCCTTATTCTCCATCTTCAAAACCTTATATCATCATCATTATCTTTTTCATTGTTCATTTAACCATAAACATTGAGCCAACAGCTTTTCATCGTAATTATTATCATTGGTAATTCTTCAATTGAAAACTAATCGATAGACACTCGAAATCGAAAGAAAATAACAATAAAAGTCTAATACCCGAAATAAGTTAATCAACAGTCACCCCACTTACACTTACACTTGGAATTGTTTTGATTAAACTAACAATCAACAACAATGAAACCAACAGTTGATGAAAATGATTAATGATTTTTAGATTAGATAAACAGTTGAGATGGAAAGTAAATGTAACAAAAACTCAATTTCAAAACTTAATCCACATTTTCTGATGATCATCATTCTCATCATTGAAGATAAAGATGATTACCAACAATCTCCTTGAGGATTAGCATCTCTCCATGATTCATGAAGTAAACAAAAAGATTGACACAAAAGCCACACACAAGGAAAACAAAACAAAAGATGATCACAATCACTTAATCATTTTCTCCTCTCACTTGATTAAATGATACAAAATGGCGATTTAAACAATTTAGATGGGCGATGAAGGTTTAACCTTTTCTTTTTTGAAAACCGTTTTACTTACCAATAAAATGGGTTGACCATTTTTAATCCACTGGATTGAACCACCAGGATTAATCATAGTACAAGGGATGTGAAGCCGTTCACCGGGATTAGTCATCCTAATGTCAGTTGGATCACTTTTAACATAGCAATTTAAAAAAGAGAATTGGATTAATAAGAAGATCGGAGTAAACTTGATGACAATTAGTAAACATTTTCTGATGACACTTGATTGATTTTTCAATCGATTGATTGAAAACTGAGGCAACATGAGTAATGAAACTTCAGAAAGAAGAAGAGAAAAAATTAACTATCGAGACATTTGTTGTTCATTCAAAAGAAAGAGACAAAAATGTTTCTTTTTTGCCTCTTCTTGTTTTCTTTCTTCTTCTCCCGAGAAGAGAACAGCTCACATGAAGGGGAAAGAAAAGTTGTTCTTTTATGCGCAGTTTCAATCAACTGAAAGTACTTTTGGTCTGATGCGCATCGAAAAAAATTCAGCCCCCTTAACGTGTTTTCTTTTTCAAACTGTTTATATTTTCCCTCCTCTCGGTTGACCAATTTGAGCGAATCTGCTTCCATCTATTGATGCTCGTTACAACTGCAAACCATTTTAATTTAGAAACGTGTCTAAAATTTAAGGTGAATTGATTCATTTAGAAGAAAATTATTATAGTTAAAACATAAATTGATGAAATTATTGATGATCATCAAGTACAGCATCAAAATGGATACAAATAATCAAGGCAAGAACAATAATAGTACAAATTAATATAAATTTATACTGAGACCCACGCCAAATGTTATATGCAAACTATGGTATTAGGTAGATCGGAAAGTTTTGCACGAAAAAATGAAAAAAAATCTTTTTTCACCATTGAGCCTATGGAAAAGTTTTGACTTTTTTGAAAAAAAGACACAATTTAGATTTAAATTTTTTCGGTAATTACAATTAGCTGATTATTGAATTTGATAAAAATTGAAGAAAAAGTCTTGAATTTAGACCAGTTTGATTAAACCTAATAAAAAATGAAAAAAAGGCCATTTTTGGCCCTTTTAAAACACGAAGGAAAAAAATCTCGAATTTAGGTCATTTTCGAAGTGCTTTTTAGCCTGGTTCGAATACAAAAAATTATGATTTTTTTAGATATTTATGTACATGCAACTATGAATTTTATACAGCCAAAGACTTTGAGTTTGCACCCACTTTTTAAATCATTCACGCAGGTAATGATAAGCAAGTAAAGATAACTTTTGATATCTAATCAGTTGACCATTTTAAGACTAAATCGCTTAAATTAGTGGACAAATTCATCTTCATATCTCTGGGTTAACTTTATCTCTCATTGATTAGATTCAACTGCGTGAATGATTTGTAAAGTGGTAGCAAACTCAAAGTCTTTGGCTGTATTCTCAGGAAGTTTTAACTATTACAATTAATAACCTTTGCTCAATCACACTTTTATTGATAAGCCAGATTTTCGTGCAAAACTTTCTGATCATCCTAATACAGATTAAAATGGGATTTTATATTTCGTTATCAATTGTATTTACATTCATATAAATTGTTGAACTAATCAAGAACTACTGTTTGGATATTCACTTCTCAAATCAAATAATGTAAAATTCACCTTCACAAGTGGTGATTGTACCACTAGAGTAGCTAAGCTATTCAACACTGTAAAAGTGATGTTTATATTAATAAAGAACTTTTGTCCAAATTTTTATAAAATTTATCGCTTCATTTTAATGGTCAATATTTTCGAAAAGAAAAGTTTTCAACGAAATTATAAAATGAAATACTTGGTAAGTTTCCTTTCTCCTGTGTGTCCATTATACTAGTGGTCAGCAATTGGATTACTTTATTGATTATCTGTTTCTCTCTTAAATTATCAGATTGTGTTAACTGTTTCATCCACATTTATCCTAAGCTTTGCCTCTGAAATAAAAATGAAAGTTATCATACAAATTGTATTATCGTTTACTAAAAGAGCATCGAATTAGCTTGATTGTGATATAATAGGAAGTCATGATGCTTATGGTGATAATGGTTGGGGATTCAATGGATTGAAAAAGTATGGAGGTTGGGGTTCAAATGCAGGTTATGGAGGTCAACATGGTAGCCATGGACATAACCAAGGTTATGGACTTTATTCAAGGTAAGTTGACCATCAGTCACTTAAACTTATTCACATGAAATTATGAACCAAAAATTGATTAATTTCAACTAACAAAGAGACCAGAAGAAAATCAAAATCAAAAATGTTCAGTCAAGTTCAGGTCAGTTCCATGAAATCAGCTTTCCGAGACATTGGATTGGAACTTTTGACCTGGAAATTTTATTTAAATTAAGCAGTTAAATAATTAATAACAGTTTCACGGTTGCAATTTCTAATATTTCATTGCCAATGTTCATCACCAAATGATCAAATGAATGATTATCAACTTTTAATCAACTTAGAAACCGAGGTTATGGTTACGAAAAGCAATGGGCTTACGATAAAGAATACGCCAAAAAGGCTCATAATGGAGGTTATGGTGACCATGGTTCGAACTGGGGTCATCACAATAACCATGGACACCATGGTAAGACTGTAATGGTCAATGTGAATCGAATGGTCAGTTAACCATTTTGTTGTTCTCTTCCAAATCTCAGGTCTTGACTCACATGCCAACTATGGACACAACAAATATGGAAACCACGACAAATATGGTAACTCAGGGCACGGACGATATGGTCACATTTTGGGTGCTTATGGATCGTCAGGCCATCAATACGCTGCTCCATCTTATGGACACTCATCCGGTGGCTACGGTGACCACGAACCCTATGCTAGTGCTCCCGTTGGTGTTACTTACTATTAGATTAATTATCAACTCTTATCATTATAATTATCATCAAATTCACATGAAAATTGGTTAATGGAAAACATCAACACTTATAAACTCATTTCAAGTTAATTCACAATTAACTTTTGTAATTAAGATCATTTATATAAACCTTCAATCTGTTCTCATATTATTTTCATCAAACAATCAACTTTAATATCAATTGGTCAACAATTAATATCACCAGAATCAAAAGATAAAATCAATGTAATGATCATTGATCAAAGTTTTTTTTTCACTAGGAATAATTAACTAATTGGTAACAATTTAAGCTTAAAAATACAATGTATTTACCATATTTTACTTTCCTAAAAATTTTTGTATTTAAAACTAATTGTTGGTTAATTAACTGTTTTCTTTAGCTAAATTAACTTTGATCATTTTTTATTATTTCCTGTCACCAATACTCATTAATCATCTGAAATCTTGACTAATTCAACAACAATCAACAGTTTCTCAATCATCACAGACTCACAATTGTAATATTTAAATAAAGATTATTTTCAATTAATTAACTTCTGAATTATGAATATTCTCACTACCAATTGATAAACGAATCAGTCAATCGATCGTGCGTTAAACTTAAACTTAATTTGGATGAAACAACTTATTACGATTATTTTTTGGCGAAAATATTTCGCGATTGTATTTTATATAAATTTACGTTTTCATTACTGTCATCAATCACGGGAAGTTCGCTTGATAAGATACGTCATTCAACGTCAGATAAGAAATCAACCTCCTTATAGACGAAATGAAAATGATAAATTGCTTCCCTTTAACATGGTGATTCGATATGCTGATAATACGGTGGATGCAATAAATACTAGAAATTCAATTATTCGTATGATCAAAGTGAAAGAAAATCGATCAAAGTTATTGGATATAAGTCTATTAACTAAGGAATTAATAGATGTTCATGATGTTTCTTACTTCGTTCGTTTGAAACGTCGTCAAAAATGAAGCCCGTAGGTCCGATCTTTTCTGCGAGGGGAACGTGTTACTTTATATTAATTAATCGCGATTTAATAAAGAGATCGCAGGTCTCGATCACTATCGCCCTCTCATCTCAACAGAAAGATGAAAAAGAATAAGGACAAAACTTTCCCAATTAAGCCTGACTACATCCCAATTAACCAATTATTCTAATTTTAAGTTTTATTTTATTTCCCCTTTATAAGATACCCGATGATAATTCTCCTTTCCTCTTTATCACTAATATATTAATCCTGACTCGATATTTACGAGGAATATTCAACAAGTTTGGTGTTCCTGTTTCCAATTCAATTAGGAATAACAAAAAATTTGTAGTTCAATGAACTCAACTAGAAAACAGAAAAAAGGTCAAGGTAACGATTTCTGCTGGAAATAAAAAGGATTTAGATGACGGTTATCAAGAAACCAAGAAACTCCTTAAGTTTTGCTCGATAGTCTCCAAATTAAGAGAAAAACACTGTGCAACCTGCTTCAGATACGCCCACGAAACGAGAAATTGTACCTTCTGCGCTGCTTGTCTTGAGGATGGTCACAAAATAGCTCATTTTTCCTGGTTGAGAAAAGGTGAAGAGCCTCCACGAGTCAACCTCATCTCCACGGATGACCAATCTGCCTCAAAACGACGTAAATTAGAAGAAAATCCCATCTATTGGAAAAACGTTGGAAACTTGGACTTCAAGTTGCTCGAGAAATTAAAGCTTATTGGGAAAGTTGGAGAAGAAAAACCAACCCTTGTTATTGACACTGAAGGCATGGCCACTGATGGGAAAGCACTTTTCGTCACCCTCGCTGGCTGGTTCAGAAGCAATATTCTTGATGACCAAGTGATTTACAGCGAATATATAAAGACCATGAACGTCACTCACTTGACCATTCCAATTCAAAGGGTCTAAAAGGAGATTCAAATAATCCAATCAATGGTCATAACCCAGGATTGGACTCTTGTTTCACCATTAAACTTTATCGAAAGTATCTTGAAATAAACAAAGAAGGAAAACGAATACCATCAGCGGATGAGATAAGAATGATGTTAAATTCCAATGTAAATTATTCAAATTACAATCTACTTTGTTACCTTTAGACATTCGCAGGTACTGCTTCAAATTGGTCAGTCGGAAGTGTTATGAAAATGTCAAACAGAGAGAGATTAAGTTAATCGTTTTATTACTTTGTTTCCAACAACAGGTAAAAGTCACCTTGACTTTTATCTTTCTCTCTCTCCCGCATAAAACACTGTATTTTAGACTAATGGATTAATCAAGTGAGTTGAGTCTTCGATAAGTGAAGATTGAAAGGTTTTAATTTAATAAATAAAGTGTCCAAATGAATAAAAATCAATTGTTTATGTTCAAGTGAAAGTTTGTGGTCACATTAACGGTTAAATCAACAACATTAGCCAACAAACTATAATGATGTATTAATATGGTAGATTTAATCAATATGGTTGAGTGAATTTTAAGATGTTAATTAATCGTAAAAATTAGATTTACATATCAACCTTAAGGTTGATATTAATTTCAATCTTTTTGTATAAAAAGTAAATTGTTTTTGATTAAAATAAAACTGTTAAAAGTTACTATTATAAACAATTAGTTAATTAAATTTGTTCAACAGATTGATAATGCTTTAATAATAAAAATTTTTGTTCTCAAGTACGCATCAACTTCATCTTCATCTTCATCCTTATTTTATCCTCGATGTTTTTCGCGATTTTTTCAGCAACTGAGAGTCAAAGAGACTTGAGTGGTATGAGTTTTGGTGATGTTCAATTGTCATATTGAAGATTAAGGTCATTCAGGTCTTTGTTGAAATAGAACATTTAAAGGTCATAGGAAGGTAATTCAACAAAATAATGTTCAGAGATACTACCGGCAGGTTTTCAGATTTCTATGAGCTACGAGCTTTGCTATGCATGTTAAGATAAATTTATTGGATGGGAGATTTGCAACAATAGTAGTAATAAACTGCTAGCTTTGAATCATGAAATTAGACAAGGTTCAGAATTTTAATTATATGTTCATTAAAATTTTCCATTCATTGAATGTTTACAGATTCGAAACAAAGAAAAAAATCCGTAATCTGTTTGCTTTTTTCAATCTAAAATTGTAATTCCAGTGGTTAGAGCACTTGCTCATCAAGTTAACCCGCGTTCAAATCTCACTTGTGATAGTAGTAGTGAAAGTACACAAGATAGCGCAGTCATTCACCCCATGTGACAAACATTTTAGACATTTTAATTAGATCAATTATTGACAAATCTATGAATAATTATTGATTATTGATTTCCAATTAAAACTATTTATATCTGAATTTGACCTACTAACCGAGTGAGCAATTAGTATAAAAAGAGTGTTCAAACTTGGATCAACATTCAGTTTCAAAATGGAATCTTGTAAAGCTTGTGGTTTTGGTGCTAAAGCTGATTTCGATCAATATACCATCGATTATTATGAAAGTATTGGTTATCAAACTTGTTACTCTGAAAAGTATAGGACTCCACAGAAACGAATGGAATCATATGTCAATTGGCCTAAACCAGAATTGGACATAAAAAAGTTGGTAGATGCTGGATTTTTCTACAGGGGGGTAAGAGATTTAGTATCTTGTTTCCATTGTGGCCTCAACGTACATGAATGGAAGCCAGATGACGATCCATTAATCGAACACTTGAAGTTTAACGCCAAATGTGACTACCTATATGTAAAATGTGGTACAATGTTCCTGGCCAAGACATGCTTTGACCTAGAAGGAGAAATACCACTAGCTGAACTATCAAGAACCGAAATTGATCGATACAACTGTAAAGTTTGTAAAGAGATGGAGGTTGGCTGTATCTTCTATCCATGTGAACATGCAGTAGCATGTACAAATTGTACTGTCAAGCTCTCGAAATGTCCGATATGTGATCGTCTAATCAGAAAAGTATTAATAGCTTACTGATTAATCTTTCATTTAACGAGGATGACTCTTTGTGAAAACATTACAGTTAATAATGTTGTCATGTCATTTACTTTGAACTCAAATCTTTCTCGAAGTATAATAAAAATGTATTACCCATCAATAAGGTACCCCAGGAGATTCTCCGGGGGAATATTAAAGTATGTTGATGGGTGTTTATTAATTTTTGATTCTGGTAAAATTATTGTAACTGGAATTAAAAACTGTGTAATCTCTTTCAATTTAATAAATCGTTTTTGTATCAATTATCCATCAAAAATTGATTACATTAATTTCAAAGTTGTCAACATCGTGGCTCACTCAAGGTTATCAAGTGATTTTGATTATTCAATACTCAAAAGGTTTCCAAAGTACTCATACGAGCCAGAGTTATTTCCAGGAACACATATAAAAGTGGACAATACCAAGGTTATTTTTATCGTTTTTAAAACAGGAAGGATAACAGTAACCGGCATCAAAGATTATAATGATGTTTCAAAATATTTTGAAAAGTTTAAATCTTTAGCAGAATCAATATAAAGAGAGACAGGGCTATAAATAACCTAGTTATTCAAAAACCATGGATACAAACGAAACCTACAGAATTTGGTGTAAAAAAGTTCTTTTCACTGTACAATTAGTTGTATTGATATCAATGTTGATAACAGCTATTGTTAACATTGTCTTAAAACTGAAATCTACCGTTATGGACAGCTTTACTTGGATCTTCACTTGGTTATCTTCTTCCAACTCCAAGGTTTCGATCGGGCAAGAGTTCAGATAATGGTGCTACAAGCTCAGCTCCTTCCTCAATTGTATCATGAGAATTTAATATAAAAAATAAACTAAACTTGAAAATCATCATCATGTCTTATTCAATTTATTTAAAACACTTTCACAATGTACATATCAGGCCAACTGGCTCTGGTAAAACTTATTTTGTACGTAATATGATAAATGCAGCTGGTAAAATATGTGATCCAGCACCAAAGAAAATAACATATTTCTATGGTGAATATCAGAAAATGTTTAATTCTATGCCTAATGTAAAGTTTATAGAGGGACTATCAGAAGAACATCTATCTAATGCCGGAGGGGATGAACCTGAATGGATAGTGATAGATGACTTAATGTTAGAAGCCAGTAACCAAACATTGATAAGTAATTTATTTACAAGAGGTTCACACCATAGAAATATCTCTGTAATACTCATAACCCAAAACTTTTTTGTTAGAGGAAAGGAAAGTCGGAACATAAGCTTAAATAGTCAGTATGTTGTTTGTTACAAGAATCCAAGAGATAAATCTATGATAACAAACATTGCTAGGCAAATGTTTCCATCAAAGATTAAAAATTCCAAAACATTTTGAAAACGCTACAATTAAACCTTATTCATACTTATTCATTGATCTGAAACCTGACACAGATGATAAAGTAAGATTAATCACCAATATTTTCAATGAGAATGATGATCCAATGATAGCTTATTCTCTTTGAATTTATATAAAAGAAATTATCAATTATCAATCAATCAATATGTCTATCGAAGGCGTTAAAAAAGTTCCCTACATTAAGAAAACTT